CTGGTTCAGTTTCTTGGCGTTCTACTCGCTCGTCTTCAGTTCTCAGCTCCAGTTGTGAGGCTGAGATCTACGCCACAGCCATGGCTGCACAGGAGCTACGCTGGCTCACCTACCTGCTGACCGACTTGGGAGAGCGGCCTAGTTCTCCTCCAGTGCTGTACGTCGACAACAAGGCTGCCATTGCCTTGTGTGACAAGCACAGACTGGAGCATAGAACGAAGCACATCGCTCTCCGTTACTTCCTGGCTCGAGAGCTGCAGCAGCGCGGTGAGCTTCGTCTGCGTTACGTGGCCACTCAGGCCAACACCGCTGATATATTGACCAAGGCACTTCAGCCTGGTGATCATCAGCGCTTCTGCACTATGCTGGGGCTAGTGCCCACTTTCCCTCACTTGCTGTAGGCTTTGCCTGTACTGTGATCTCTATATATGTATACCTGCTTGTTTGCTTTGCTATGTTGAGATCACCTTGCTGTTTGTGTTGCATATATGCCTCTGCATGTGAGCTGGCCATGTGGCCCTTTGCTTGTGCTCAGAGTGTGTTGTGACGTTGTGATCCACCATGAGCTTGTTTGCCTTTCTTGACTGGTCTTGTGACCCCTTGCTCTCCCCCACTTTGCCTATGGGGGTGTGTCAAACATTATATATGTGTTATTGTTGTGTAGGCTGTAGTGGGTTAGCCTTTAAGGGGTACACAACTCCAGGGTTTCATACTTGTACTCCAATGTTTCATAGTTCAATCACTTCTTGTTTCTGACAAGGCTCTGGTAGCAGTATTTGCACAGTATCTTGCTTAAAATTGGGTCCATGCAGCTGCCGCACGATCCAGGGATGTATCGCCGCAATTTCCGCGGCAAATACATCCTACTGACAATTTACGTCGACGACCTTCTCTACCCAGGATCGAGCCCCGAATTGCTTGAGCAGTTCAAGAAGAATCTTGCACGGCGCGTCGACATCACCTGCAACCATGATATAAAGCAGTTCCTCGGCCTCAACATCACTTACTCTCCAGAAGCTAAGTATGCAGAAGAACTTGGCAAACGCTTCAATATTGCACCTGCACCGCTCTCCACCCCTTACCGCAGTCCAGGATGTTAAAGTTTAGAAGAAAGAACAGGGCTGCACTAGCAAGAATGGGGATACAAATAGCAAACCCTAGAAGGGTTGTACTTGCTATAGAGCACCCCACTACAGGCTAGAGCATAAGATAACATTCTGACACACCCCCATAGCCAAAGTGGGGTGTAATCAGCAGAGCAAGCAAAGCAGTACAAGCTCAGGGTGGATCACAATGTCACCACACATTCTGAGCACAAGCAATAGTTTAAAGTTCACAATTATGAGCAAAGCTAGTGGTAGTCACAACGGGCAAGTGAGGAGGAGGAGAGAGAGTGAGAGGAGAGGAGATAGGAGGCGACGGATGAAGCTGCAGACACACGGGCAACAGGAGGCACACTGGCACAGCGGCTACCGGAACAACGCTCCGGAATACTGGAGTAACTGGCCCCGCGGCTTAAGTAGCGGCAGACGAGCAACGGACCCACGGGCGGCTGGCACAGCTGGCTACGACTGGGCTACCGGACGAAGTCCCCGGAATACAGGTGCTGCTGGCGACACGACGGCAACCTCCATTCAGCTTCCCCAAACTATCCCACTCCCCCCTGGCACACACCCGCTGCTACCCGCTAGCTCCACTCCCCCTTCACCCCCCCATAGTACCACTCCACCGGCTCCAACACGTCCACCCCCCCTCAGCGACAGCTGCAGCACAGGGAGACGGAGGAGGAGGAGGAGCAGGGGAGACCACACACCCGCCACCCCTCAGGTCTCCCCTCGACAGGCGACGGGAAAAGGGGGGGGGGGGGGGGGGGGGGTGTGCACGTGCCGTAGGTAGGGCGACGGGGCCGGTACGCAGGTAGGGCGACGGGGCCGGGGTCGGAGGTGGGGCGTCGGGGCCGGGGTCGCAGGCAGGGCGACGGGGCCGGGGCGCAGGTAGGGCGACGGGGCCGGGGCCGTAGGTAGGGCGACGGGGCGCGACGCGCGAGTCTCCGTCGCCCGTCGCAGCGCCTCCCGGGGGCGACGCGCCGAGTGACGGGGCAGAAACCCGTCGCGCGCCTCGGGGCGCACGGCGGGCAGAAAACCGCCGCGCGCCTCGGGGCGCACGGCGGGCAGAAAACCGCCGCGCGCCTCGGGGCGCACGGCGGGCAGAGAACCGCCGCGCGCCGTGGGGTGCACGGCGGGAAGAGAACCGCCGCGCGCCTTGGGGCGCACGGCGGGAAGAAAAAAAAAAAAACTGCCGCACGCCACGGGGCGTGCGGCACAGAGAGTAGCAGTAGTAGTTGCAGTGGAAGCAACGAGGTGGTGAGCCCACCCACAGGATCGATCCAAGGGGATCGACCTGCTCTGATAGCATGTTAAAGTTTAGAAGAAAGAAGAGGGCTGCACTAGCAAGAATGGGGATACAAATAGCAAACCCTAGAAGGGTTGTACTCGCTATAGAGCACCCCACTACAGGCTAGAGCATAAGATAACATTCTGACACAGGACCCAACCACAAGCCTGACAATAAAGGCCTGTCCCCTGCTGGGCTTCAGACTTATCAGCAGCAGTTGGGATGCCTACTCTTTACATCTGTTACCTGCAGGCCCGACCTTCCATACATCGCGAGCCAGTTGGCTCAGTACTCACGCAAACCAACCACTGAGAATCTACTAGATCTTCAGCGAGCACTTCAGTTCTTCATTTCCACACCCAATGTTGGGCTCTGCTTCTCCACCATCCCAACCTCGTCATTCAACCTCATCGGCTACGTGGACGCCGATCATGCTGCTGACTCCGACAATCGACGGTCCATGACGGGCTTCATTTTCTTCCTCGAGCCCAGCGGCCCCATCTCCTGGAATTCACAAAAGCAGGAGTTGGTTGCCATGTCATCAGCGGAAAATGAGTTCATCGCAGCGACGGCAGCTGTTCGTGAAGGTCTCTATCTTCAGGAGCTGCTGCAAGAGGTGAAATTCCAGCCTCGGCGAACTTTCGCTTGCAGTGCGACAACTAGCGCGCGATCAAGATCTCGAACAAACCAGGATTCGTCAACCGCACCAAACACACCGCGCTGCGGTACTTCTTCGTCAAGGACGAAGTTGACAAGGGCAAGGTTGACCTAACCTACTGCCCGACGGTTGACATGGCAGCTGACTTTCTCACGAAGAAACTACCGCGTCAGCAGTATCAGCACTGTTCCGAACTCAGCAGAGTAGTCTAGCGAGTCAAGACCTGCTACAGCCATGAGTGAAGGGGGGTGTTACGAAAAGCGAAAATTTAATGAACTATTGTGCACTTCTTACCGCAGCAAGCAAAGCAGACACTACCGAGGTTGAAGACGAAAATGCAGAAAATGACGCGAAGGGTCATACGGTTAGGAAAGCATCTGGACCGTCCGGCAGACAGCATAAGGCAGCAGCAGTGACGAGAATTCTGCCCGAACCGTTTCGTAAGTGTCTGGAGCAGGGCTGTCGATTGGATTTGAGGTACTCGAACAAATCCGGAGGCCCGGCAAGTATGACCCTGAATTTAGCAGGGTTGGGCCAAAACTCGGCCCTTTAGGCTTCAGGGTTCAGGTGGAAAAAAAGATAGCCTCATTCCCCCAACCCTCAGTGATTGAAAGATAGCTTGTCAATCACTGTGTAAAACTAGTCATCTCAGTGATTGACACAACAGCCCGTCTAGGTTAGATGGCCCTTACGAACTCAAGCTTCGTCAGGTTGGATGCAGCGAGGGACAGGGAGGGGTGTTAGGCAAATAGATTGAGGGGGGATGGGGGCGAGAAGAGGGGTGACATAGTTCTTGTTCCAGGGTTTGGCTAATACTGGCTCACTCAGCCCTGAATCAGATCAGGGCAAGATTTTCCGCAACCCATCAATTTCAGGTTTCATGGAAAACCTAGCCCTGGAATTCAAGGTCTAGCAGGGCAAACGCCCTGATGGCGACAGCCTGGTCTGGAGTCGCACGGTTAAGTTTCGCTGTAATAAAGGAATGTACCTCTTAGAGTACATGGCTAGCTAGGTCGTTTCATATTCCACTGTACTCTTACTTATAGTGCTATATTTGCATGTTTTTATCATCTCAGGCATTTTACATTCACTCTTCTATTGAGGTCAAGGTCAATTATTGACGAACCACAGACGCTACTACCACCGTAGCGCGCAATCTAGCAACTGTAGCGCACGATCTAGCAGCCGTAGCGCGCGATCTAGCAGCCGTAGTGCGCGATCTAGCCGCCGCGCCCGTGATCTAGCCGCCAGGCCCGCGATCTTGCCGCCAGCGCGCGATTTTGCCACCAGACCCGCGATTTAGCCGCTCAGTAAGTGATTAGGCCGTCTGGCGCGCAGCTAGGCAGCAGAATTCGCGCCAAAGCAGGCTCCTTTCACGTGCTGGCTGCCGAAACCGCGCAGCAGCAGCAAAATCCGTGCCCTAGCCGCGATATCCGCGCCATAGCAGCGAAATCCGTGCCACCGCAGCGACATCCGCGCCAGAGCAGCGAAATCCGTGCCACCGCAGCGATACCCGCACCAGAGCAGTGAAATCCGTGGCACCGCAGCGACATCCGCGCCACAGCAGCGAAATCCGTGCCACCGCGGCGACACCCGCGCCACTGCAGCGAAATCCACGCCATAGCAACGAAATCCGCGCCACAGTAGCAAAATCTGCGCCACAGCAGAGAAATCCGCACCACAGCAGCGAAATCCGCGCCATAGCGGCGATATCCGCGCCACAGCAGCGACATCTGCGCCATAGCAGCGAGATCCTAGCCATAGCAGCGAATTCCGCGCCATAGTAGCGGAATCTGCGCCATGGTAGCGAACCGCGCCTTAGCAACGAAGACCGCGCCATAGCATAGTTATAGACGCCATAGTAGGAAAATCCATGCCACGCAGCGAAATCCCTGGCCATAAGAGCACCATAGAGTAAGCGAACGAGCCTTCGCTAGAGATTGGAGCCATGGTGGAGGACCTGAACCCCGGAGATCCCGGGGTCTGGGTGGGGGACGGCCTGGACAGCGACATGACGGGGGCCTTTGGTGGCGATGGGGGGGGTAAGCACAGTAGCAGCTGGTGGGTCGCTCCACCTATTGGTTGGTCACAAAAGACGGAGGGAGGCTGAGGGTGTGCTTTGGAGCCCACGCATCCGTCGCCTCCACCACGAAGACCTTCTATGCCTATTTGGCAAACCACCCAAGAGACCGCGTTACGCAGCGGGCTGTCTGACTTCAGCATTGACATGTGAGCAGTCCCTTGACGACCCTTCCAACATCCGGGCTGGCCAGATCGACGACTCCGGACCGGCGGTCGTCAACGAAGAGGTGGGGGGAGCGATAAGTGACAAGGGCGCGGTTGACGAGGTGGTGATAGCTCCAAGGGAGGCTTCGGAGGTAGCGAGAGCAGCTTGGGAAGAGCACCGTAGGCGCTTGCAGCAACAGCATGACACTCGCAGAAGCGGCCGACCCGAGAGGGTAACGCCGCACAGTGCGGGCTCGACCAGCGCTGCAATCCCCCTGGTCGTGCCACGTCTTGCACGGCGACAGGAGTGGAAGCGCCGGAGGGCGGCAAGGAGAGACAAGCAGCAGGAGCCGCTAGTGGGGGGCCGGCGAGACCTGCCGGTGGGCGAGCAGCAGGGGGTACGGGAGGGGGCCGGGCAGCCGCCGGTGGGGACGGGACAGCAGGGGTTGCAGAGCGGTGGGCAGCAGGAGCTACAGAGCAGAGGGCAGCAGCAGGTGCCGAGCGGAGGGCAACAGCCCAAGCAGAGCGGAGGGCAGCAGTGGATACAGGCTGGGGGGCAGCAAGAGCTGCAGGCTGGGGTCCAGCAGGAGTGGCAGGCCGGGGGGCAGCAGGAGCGGCAGGTCGGGGGGCAGCAGGAGCTGCAGGCCGGGGGGCAGCAGGAGCTGCAGGCCGGGGGGCAGCAGGAGCTGCAGGCCGGGGGGCAGCAGAAGCTGCAGGCCGGGGAGCAGCAGGAGCTGCAGGCCTGGGGGCAGCAGGAGCTGCAGGTCAGGGGGCAGCAGGAGCTGCAGGCCGGGGGGCAGCAGGAGCTGCAGGCCGGGGGGCAGCAGGAGCTGCAGGCCGGGGGGCAGCAGGAGCTGTAGGCTGGGGGGCAGCAGGAGCTGCAGGCTGGGGGGCAGGAGGCGTTGGCAACGGCGATGGAGGTGGAGCCACAGGCCACGGGGCAGCAGGAGCCGCGAAACGGAGGGCAGCAGCAGCTGCAGAGCGGAGAGCAGCAATGGCTGCAGGCTGGGGGGCAGCAGGAGCTGCAGACTGGGGGGCAGCAGGAGCTGCAGGTTGGGGAGCAGCAGGCGTTGGTGACGGAGATGGAGGTGGAGTCACATGCGGGGGGGCAGCAGGAGCTGCAGAGCAGAGGGCAGCAGCAGCTGCGCATCGAAGGGCAGCGGACGCTGCCGAGTGGAGGGGAGCATCCAAGGAAAGGGCAGCCGGAGGTGCCGGGAGAAGGGCAGCTGCCGGCGAGGGAGAAGCAAGTGGCAGACGTGGAAATGGCCGAGCTATCACATGCCGTGGAAATGCCACGAGAGGAGCAGCAAGAGCTGCAAACAGGAGGGCGGCGCGAGCTGCCGGCGCGCGGTCAGCGGGAGGTCGCGAATTCGGATGCTGTAAGCGAAGTGAGCAGAACCTGGGCACGGGGCCGAGGCGGGAGTCGACGTTCCTGCGAATCGCAAGGGCGGATTGGAAGCGGGGCTGCCGCACAACAGGCGGAGGGGCAGCCGGGGGCGCCCGGTGCACCCCAGGGAGAGCAGCAGGTAGGGGGGCAGTCGAGGGCGCCCGGTGCACCCCAGGGAGAGCAGCAGGCAGGGGGGCAGCTGAGGGTGCCCGGAGCACCCCAGAGAGAGCAGCACGCAGGAGGGCAGCTGAGGGTGCCCGGAGCACCCCAGGGAGAGCAGCAGCCAGGGAGGCAGCTGAGGGTGCCCGGAGCACACTAGGGAGAGCAGCAGGCAGGAGGGCAGCCGGTTGTGCCCGGAGCACCCCAGGGAGAGCAGCAGGCACGGGGGGCAGCTGAGGGTGCCCGGAGCACCCCAGGGAGAGCAGCAGGCAGGAGGGCAGCCGGGGGTGCCCGGAGCACCCCAGGGAGCGCAGCAGGCAGGGGGACAGCAAGAGCTGCCCGGAGGTCAACAGGCGTTGGCGGCAGAGATGGAGGTGGAGCAGGGGGTTGGGGAGCAGCAGGAGCTGCAGGCTGGGGGGCAGCAGGAGCTGCAGGAGCTGGAGGTGGAGATGGAGGAGCCGCAAGAGGAGGCGCGAGGGGAGCTGCCGGTATGCATGCAGGAGGGGAGTCAAACAGACAATCAACCCCAGTTGCAGGCAGGGCGGCAAGGGTGTTATGAGGGGAACCAGCCCTTGCCTGGAAGTGTGCAACAGGGGTTGCCGACGAGTGAGTCACAGGAGTTGCAAGTGCAGAATCAGCAGGGGGTCACTAGCCCGGGCGGCACAGGCCAAGCCGAAGGGTCGCGGGCACGGCACCGAAGGGGGCGACGACAGGGAGGGCAGCGGGATGGGGGCCAGCCGGGGGCGACCCAGGCACCCCAGGGAGAGCAGCAGCCAGGGGGGCAGCCGGGGGTGACCGGGGCACCCCAGAGAGCGAAGCAGCCAGGGGGGCCGCCGGGGTTGACCGGAGCACCCTGGGGAGCGCAGTAGCCAAGGGGGCAGCCGGGGGTGACCGGAGCACCCTGGGGAGCGCAGCAGCCAGGGGGGCAGCCGGGGGTGACCCGAGCACCCCAGGGAGAGCAGCAGGCAGGGGGGCAGCCGGGGGTGACCGGGCACCCCAGGGAGAGCAGCAGGCAGGGGGGCAGCTGGGGGCGGCAGGAGCACCCCAGGGAGAGCAGCAGGCAGGGGGGCAGCTGGGGGTGGCAGGATCACCCCAGAGAGAGCAGCAGCTGGGGGTGACCCGAGCGCCCCAGGGAGAGCAGCAGCCAGGGGGGCAGCCGAGGGTGACTGGAGAACCCCAGGGTGCGCAGCAGTCAGGGGGGCAGCCGGGGGTGACCCGAGCACCTCGGGGAGCGCAGCAGCCAGGGGGGCAGCCGGGGGTGACCCGAGCACCCCAGGGAGAGCAGCAGGCAAGGGGGCCGCCTGGGGCGACCGGAGCACCCCAGAGAGAGCAACAGGCAGGGGGGCAGTCGGGGTTGACCGGATCACCTCAGGGAGAGCAGCAGCCAGGGGGGCAGCCGAGGGTGACCGGAGCACCCCAGGGAGCGGAGCAGCCAGGGGGGCAGCCAGGGGTGACCGAGGCACCCCAGGGAGCGCAGCAGTCAGGGGGGCAACCGGGGGTGACCCAAGCACCCCAGGGAGAGAAGCAGGCATGGGGGCAGCCGGCGGCGACCGGAGCATCCCAGAGAGAGCAGCAGCAAGGGGGGCAGCCGGGGGCGATCGGAGCACCCCAGGGAGAGCAGCAGCCAGGGGGGCAGCCGGGGGTGACCGGAGCACCCCAGGGAACGCAGCGGCTAGGTGGGCAGCCAGGTGTGACTGGTGGATCCCAGGGAGAGCAGCGGCTAGGGGGGGAGCCGATGTACGACCTGGAGCAGCAGTTGGTGGAGTGGAGCCGACTTTTGGAGTTAGATACTCCCATGGCGACTGCGGAGGAGCCAGAGGAAGACGGAGAGCCTCCCAGACCGCCTTCCCCATGCCCCCGTTTTCCATGTGACACGTGTTTTCACACGTTTGCTACGCGAGGGGCTACTGCGAACCACATGAGGGAATGCAGGGCAGCTGAGGCGGAGAGGCGCGCGCAGGCACTTGGCTCGATCCCGTCCCTGGTGGAGACCGACACGCAGGAGAGACTGACGCCGCGGGACTTTGGGGACGAGGCGTGGGCCGGGGTTACGTCATGGGAGTGGGAAGCATTTTTCAGTGTGGAGGCGGTTGGAGGGAGGACAGTGCGCCGGATCCCATAGAGGGCCCGGGCGGGGGTCTTGGACGTGCTCTTCTGCATCTTAAAGCGTTTGAAGAGCCGACCGGGGGATGAAGCCGCTACCCTCCTGCTCTTGGCGTTTCTGCGCCTCATCCTAGCCGTGCCTCCCAAGCCAGGCATAGGTCAGAAGGCGCTGATAATAGAGCGGCTGGGGGCGTTCTGGGAGGGGAGGTGGCGAGAGCTGTTCGACTCTGCCATGGCAGCGGCGCGGCCAGCAGTTCGTCCACTCGCCTACACTTGCTCTGACCAGGACCAAGATGCCATCCGCCTGTCACGGTGCCGAGCTCAGTGTAAAGTGGGAGAGTGGAGTCGTGGATTGGCTTGCCTTACAGCAGGAGGGTGGGCTCGATCGTCTGAGGCCATGGTGCAGTCGCTGCAAGAGAAGCACCCTGCTAGCACTAGCGAGGTACCATAGTGGTCCGTGATTTCACCGTCGATGCTCCTCAGCGGCCTCCACTGATGACCGACGTCCTGAACAGAGCCATTCATACAGCCGCTCGCGCTTCAGCAGCAGGGCCATCGGGGTGGGTCACAGAGCATCTGCGCGACACCTTCCTCACTGAACCTTCCTGCCTTCCCCACCTATTGGAGGTGTTCAACCAATGGGTGGCAGGACAGGTCCCCAAGCAGGCATGGCCCTGGCTCGCCGCATCCAACCTAGTTGGGCTTTCCAAGCCTGGTGGGGACGTCCGGCCGGTGGCGATTGGGGAGGTGCTTCCGTGTATCCTTGCTCGAGCTCTTTGCATCTCGCTCCGCCCTACAATAGCTTCCTACTTTCTGCCGTGCAACCAGCTGGGAGCGGGCACCAGGGTCGGGATGGAGATTCTTACTCATTCTTTCCGGTCAGTGCTGGCCACTCACCACGATTGGTGTGCGCTGCAGATAGATGTTGCGAACGCCTTCAATTCTTTTCACCGTCATGCGATGTTTGAGGGGCTGCGGGAGTTGCCTTTCTCGAGGTTGATCCCATTCTTGCGTGTTTTCTACGGGACACCTTGTGACCTGTACCTCCGAGCGGGCCCTTTCGTACATAGTCTTGAGTCGGCACAAGGTTCGCGGCAGGGGGACCCGCTCGGCCCTTTTCTTTTTGCGTTCACGCAGCAGCAGGTGATGGAGTAGGTGATTAGAGAGTTCAGGGACATACTTTTCCTCAGTTATGCGGACGATACCTATATTCTGGGACCAGCGGCTAGGATCTTAGAGGCTTTTGGGGTGTTACGGGAGCGGTTGGAGTGGGTGGGGCTGGAGGTGCAGGCGCACAAGTGCCGGTTTTGGGAGCGCGAAGACGGGGATGTGGAGCGGGCACTGCCATTGGGGATGCAGCGGGTGGAGGAGGCTCTCACTGTGGTGGGCGTACCTATCGGGGATGAGGATTGGGTGTCAGAATGTTATGTTTGTCTAGCCTGCAGTGGGGTACTCAATAGTGAGCACAGTGAGGAGCCATAGCTAGGGTTTCTCACTAGCTATGGCTCCTCACTGTGCTCACTATTCTCACATGCTATCAGAGCATCTACGCTCCTGGCCTGTGGGCCCACCTAACTGCTTCCGCTGCTACTCTGTCTGTTGCACGCTCCACGCGCGGCGAATTTTTTTTCCGGTTTTTCTTTCCGCCGTGCGCTCGGGGCACGCGGCGGTTTTCTGCCCGCCGTGCGCCCCGAGGCGCGCGGCGGTTTCCTACCTTGGGGACCCGCGCGCGGCCCCTGCCCTGCTCGTCGCGGCACCCTGGGGAGCACGCGCGGCCCCCGCGCGTCACGTCGCGGCGCCCTGAGGAGCCGCGCGCGGCCCCTCGCTGCCCCGTGGTGGCGCCCTAGGGGCCGCGCGTCACCCCTGGAGCCGCGCGCCACCCCTGGCGCCGCGCGCGGCCCCCCTTCGCTGCCCCGTGGTGGCGCCCTGGGGGCCGCGCGCCGTCCCCCTCGCCGTCCCCCGCGCTCCTACCCTGTGCCACCCGTTTTAGGGTTTGGGGGTGGGGAGTGTGGGGGTGACGGTTGTGGGGGTGCCGGTTGTGTGCGCCGTCCCCTGCTCCTCCTCCTCCTCCTCCGTCTCCCGCTGCTGCAACTGCCGCTCAGGGGGGTGGGTGTGTGGGAGCCGGAGTGGTGCTAGGGGGGTGACGTGGGAGTGGAGTTAGGGGTTCAGCAGGGGGTGTGTGTCAAGGGTGTGGGTCAGTTGGAGGAGGTTGTGTGGAGGTAGCTGTCGTGTCGCCTGCAGCGCCTGTAGTCCGTCGCCCTTGCTTCGGTAGCCAGTGAGCCTGCTGCACCAGTCGCCAGTGGGTCCGTTGCTCCTGCCGCTCGTCTTAGCCGCGGAGCCAGTCACTCCAGTAGTCCGTCGCCCTTGCTTCGGTAGCCACTAAGTCAGCCGCTCCTGTGCCCGTGCCTCTGCAACTTCAGTCGTTGCCTCCCATCTTCTCTCCTTCCACAGTTCCTCCTCCTCCTCACTTGCCCTCTATGATAGCCTCTAGCTTTGCTTGCAATTGTGCACCTGCTCTATGACAGTGTGCTCTGCTGATTACACCCCACTTTGGCTATGGGGGTGTGTCAGAATGTTATTATCTAGCCTGTAGTGGGGTGCTCTATAGCGAGTACAACCCTGTTAGGGTTTGCTATATGTATCCCAACTGCTGGTAGTGAAACCCCTCCTTTGTTCATTTCTCTCTTGCCTAGCTAGCTAAACCCTAACTATGGCTCCTCACTGTGCTCACTATTCTCACATTGGGAGGTGGCCCGATAACGGGAGCGGCTCCGACAGTTGCAGGGGCCATTGCCATGGCTCCCCCTTGTCAGAATCCCAACCACTAGACCATTGGGATAAAAGGGCTTGTTTCGGTAGTGGGTCAGTGCGCCCATAACCCCCCAGGCGAACGCGCCTGTAACCCCCCCTAGGATCGATCGGGGATCTCACAGTGTAGCTCTACTGACACCCCCCCACACTGGGAGGCCCAGGACTGAGCACAGTGGCAACGGCCAACATGTGCATACACCGGGATTCGAACCCGAGACCGCTCTGATACCATGTCAGAATCCCAACCACTAGACCATTGGGATAAAAGGGCTTGTTTCAGTAGCGGGTCAGTGCGCCCATAACCCCCCAGGCAAACGCGCCTGTAACCCCCCCTAGGATCGATCGGGGATCTCACAGTGTAGCTCTACTGACACCCCTGCTCGACCACCCCCAGATGGCTTCACATCTCCTTGCCATTGCAGTTTCAGCACGGCCGATGTACCTGGCCCGGACTATGCCGCCGCGTCCGGAGGTGGTGGAGGCCTTTAGGGATTGGGACAGCTGTCTGGAGGATTGCTTTTAGCAGCTTTTCCCACCTGGCACTTGGGAGCAGGACCCCGACCGGTCTAGGCGCGCGCGCATGCAGCTGCATCTTCCCGTGCGACTCGGAGGGTTTGGGATCAGGGCGGCGGCCTCTTTGAGCCCGTTGTCCTATGTTTGTGGGTGGGCGCAGGCCGCACATGATGTTGCACAGTTGGGGGTGGCGGGGGAAGAGGCGATGTTTGCAGAGTACCTCACCACCTCGGGAGGGGCGGAGTTTCTTGATCCTTGGTTTGCCAAGGCTATTGAGCAGGTGCCACTGACTATACACCAAGAGATGCCAGGCTTACCTCTGTGTGCAGCGGCTCCTCCTCTTCGACTTTTCCAGGCGCGGCAGAGGCAGTTGGCTATAGAGGAGCTCCAGACACTGCGCCGCTCGGCTTGTGACGATGCCACCCTGGCCCGTTTCACATCCCTTCAGGGCCCGGGGGCTGGTGCATGGGTTTCGGCGGTCTCGGCTCACTCAGATCTCACATTCACTGCGGCGGAGTGGGGCATTGCTGCTGCTCTACGGCTCAGGCTCCCAATTCAGCATCTGTAGGTTGCGGGGAGGTGTGTTTGTGGCACAGCGTATGTTGACCCAGCAGACCCGCTGCGGAGATTCACTCTACAACGGCAGTGAGCTAGACTACAGGGTTGGCACGAACTACTAGAGGTGATCTCAGCTTTGCTTGGTTCCTTAGTGTTTGCACATTCACAGGAGAAATTGGCAAGAGTTTCCACTAGCAAGGTTGGAATTACAGAATTGAATAAAAGAAGCAATGACAACAATGACTACATCAGGCACCTAGCAACCCTGCAGCTAGCTTGGTCGACTGCCAGCGCAGCTCGGTCGACCGCCTGCCAGCATTGCGTAGAGGAGCCGCGCCAGCACTGCAGAAGGGCGACCTGCCAACAAAGCAGGTCGACTGCGTGCCCCGTAGAACACAGCAGTGCGCGCGCTCGCAGGTGTGCGCAGACGATTGGTCCGACTTGCCTCGTTGGGCATCCGTCGGCTGTTGTCTGCGCCTGACGAGCCACATCGACTTCGGGATACCAGCCCGAAGTCGCCTGCGCCATCGCGATCTCGACGGCATTCGCGTGCCTCCGCAGAACTCGTCGAGCAGGTTACCCGGTCGACCTGGTCGACCCCTGGTGCTCTGGTCGACTCCCAGGTGCCTCCCGTCGACCACTGGGTCTCTCTGGTCGACCACCGGATGCTCCTGGTCGACCACACCTCCCGTCAAGCTACCCCTTGGTCGACGGACCCCTTCCGTCGACCAGAACTGCTCCGTCGACCTCCCGGTCGAACTGCAGTTCGACGGGATGCTCCGTAGACCTCCCCGTCGAACTGTAGGTCGACGGACTGCTTCGTCGACCTCCCGGACGGCTCACCCGTCGCCCAGGCCAGTCAGTTGCAGCTGTCGAGCATCCTGGTCGACAGCAACACCACAGCGGTCCGCTGCCGCTCGACGTAACCTGTCGAGCAGCTATCCCACTGTGAACAGTCGGCTGCTACTCCCGTGCATCCGACCAAGTCGTCGGCGTTGCCCAAGCGAGGGCGGGGCCAACACTCCATTCCCGTTTACACTCCCCTGCCGCGCTCACGCTTGGGCCTCCAGCCCACACGGCAGTACTCCACGCAGAAAGCTCGTCCTCGGCGTGCACCCCATACACAGCACGCCGTCACCGCACCAGCCGTGCAGAAGGGCACGGCACCTACTGCTGCACCTCGTCATCGCCGTCGCCGACGTCCACCAGGCGAACTTGGCCGATGGCGACAGAGCACCGGTTGAAAGCCGGAAAATGCAGCGCCTTCGTCAGGAAATCCGCCGCCTGCTCGGTGGTAGGGATGTAGTTCAGCACAAATTTCCCGCGCCTCACCATGTGCTGCAGCCAGGCGTAGCGTCGCTCCATGTGCTTGAGGTTGCCCGTCAGCCCTAAGCCCTCAGCGACCGTGATTGCCGACTTGTTGTCGACGCGGAGGATGGTCGGCTTCCCAGCGTCGAGCAGCTTGAATTCCGCAAGGAGGAAGCGAAGTCGACGCCCCTCCTTGCCGGCATCCGTGGCCGCCACGTACTCCGACTCGGTCGATGATAATGTCGCGCACTTGATGCGCGA